TCCCAGCGTAACAGTAATCTCAACTTACTGGAACTCCAGCCAGAGCAGGGTACAGCACCATGTAAAAAATCCATAACGGCTCGTATTTGGCCGCTGGAGAGGGGAGGGGGTTGGGCGTATTTGGCCTCGAGGAATTTCCGATTGTTGACTTCTACTGTTTCCTGTTTTACGCATGCTATGTATCCCCGTGGTTGGCAGCGCGGCAATACCACTATTATTGATAGATGATCGGACGTTTGTACTTTAACCCAGTCTAGGTAAAGTAAGAGCTGAGGAGTACGAGAAAATCTTGTACTTGATATTCTCGGAATAAGAGAAATCGTTTGTGACGGAATTATCTTTGGTCTGAGAGAATGGGGAGTTGAACCACTTCTGATGTTATATATACCTTCATTTCTCAAACTCTCTTAAGAACCCAGCCCAAAGCCTACTACCCGTCCATAGATTTTTGCGGACCTGGGTGGAGGAGGAAAGGGCAGTGGTTGTTGGGCTGGGTTATCAAGAAAGCAATAAAGTGGCAGAGGCGGGTCGTGTCGAGAAAAATTCCTGTCACCGTATTTGTTCCTATGGCGGTGAAAAAAAAAAGCAATGGCGGTGAAAATGTCCAGTGAACCCTGAAAGATGGAAAATGAAAACTATCCCACCTTTGTTGTTGAAGAAGATGCTGCAGGTCATTGCTCATTTTGTCCAGTTCTCGTTGAGAGAAAACATCAGACTCTTGAAGGACATGCATTATGTGAGCTGGCGTCGTCAACACCGGCACATCAATCACGTGACCTACAGTAACCCATATTTCTTACAATATTCAGTAAAATGAAAGGCTGCTACACATTTCAGCACTTCCTGGAATCAACAGATTTACGACCCCTCAAAACTCACCGAAAGCATTTACTATTTCGAGTTCTCGCAGGAACGATCGATTCGATGATGTTGCAAGTACCAAGAGTCGGTGATCCTAGAATCGTCATATCAACATGTTTTGGACTGTGTGACACACATGGTGTGCCATACACATCATGCACTACATTTGGCATGCATTTCATGTTGTCAACTTATCAGAACACGTTTTGTTATAGTCTACCCTTTGATAGTAGTCTTTGGTTTCGAATAACATTGGGCCCCTATTGAAAAAAATTCGATCTCTGCTAATGGGAATTCCTTGTTTTCTTGTTCGGATTAGGAGGGGTGATCAGGTCCTCCACGATTTAAATTACCCAAGCTCGCTTCGATTGTTGAGGAATTCATCGTTACGGAGCCGATTTAATGGTAGCGAAGATGCTTGCTAGAATAAAACATTGTCGTCAATGTCACCATGAAAATGCTGAGTTATGGGCGAAGTCCTGACCCCATACGGGAAACCGAACCCACAGCTCACGCCTCGCAAGCGAGTGCGCTATCCTTTACGTCACCAGGGTGCCTCTTACCCTGTCATCATCAGCTTATTTGAGCCACAGCCTCATACATAGCAGGTAAGAGGGTGTGTAGGCAGGTTAAAGGCACGTTCCGAGCTGATCACACGGGCGGAGACAGAGAAGCACCTTAGTGGTGCTTTATTCCTATACACCACTTTACAAAGAGTTACCACCAATGAGGGGAGAACAACGGTTCTCTGTCTTCATCATCCAGTTACCAAGGAAGTATCTTTAGAAGATTGATAAGATTACCAGGAACCTGCCACTTTAAATAGAACGCAGCGTTATTCATCATTAAACAACTTCAAAACCTGTAAAAAGCCTTCAGGTGCCTCTATGTTCATTGCCAATATCTATCGCTTAGCGGGCTCACACATCGCTCACAACGTTGTAAGAGCTGAAAGGCTACGGGAATTAAAAGCCGTTAAGGCTGAAGCGGGTAGAGCCGGCTCTTTGTGCGCTAACGGACAGGCACTTCGCTCCAGAAAGCGTGGAGACTGCGGGTTCGACTCCCGCCCAATACCTGGCAGCATTCGTTTGCGGTTACTTGCAGCTTTATCTTTCTCAGTCTTCAGATTAGTTGCAGAAGTGAGCTGGGGCTCCATTAATCCAGCTCAGAGACAGCCAATTCCATATAGCTGACTTCTGCACAGCTGCTGGCCTAATATGGGCATTAACTTTCTTCTAAAAGGACGATGCAACCTTTGCTTGGAAGCACGATTCATGGGGCGCGAGGATGCTGCGGCTGATTAGTAATGTGGGCTTTCCAGGACCGGGCGGTGGAAGTTCAATCGCGGTGTCGAGGCCAGGTAGGAGCGCAGACCATAGCAGCGGTGCAGCTGTACGCTGATGTATACAGGGAGTTCAAGTCATCGTTGGGAGGGTGTTGCGGCCATGTCATATTGACTTTGTACTACTGATAGGTTGGTTGGAGTGTGTGGTTAAAATTTATATGGAAATTACATGGATATCAGTAATGTAACATCTTTCTAACATCTTCTTCGTCACACACTGCCATTGCATCAACTCGCGAACTATTTGTTTTTGTAGATGGAGAAGATTTTTTTATTCCTTGCCTTTCCACTGTCGGACTTTTACATTCGTAAAGCCCTACATAAAAAAATCGTTTGACCACAAAATCCTGTTCTGAACCTTACAGGCGAAAGGTTGCTGGATTTTCATCATAGGCGCAAAAAACAAAAACCGATGTGTGAACACACACGGCGAACCAACCAGCGGGAAGAAAAAACCACTTCTTTATTTCCAAAGACCTAGGGGGGGGGGGGGGGGGTCAAATGGCTCACAGCTGCCTCGCATGCACGAGTGGGAACGGGACATTATATGCATTTTATTACAGATCTACAGATGCTCCGCTACAAAAGGGACAAGCAGGCAGAACCTGAGCACATTTTTGGTAACACTACGGCAACACATTTCTTGCAAAGTCAAAGATCCCTCTACGAACATCTGCACAAAAAAACGTTGGTCAAATGTAATGCGCAGAACGCACCTGTGGAGGGGGCTCATTCAACAGAACCAACAGCGCCTGGAGAACAAGGTTAGAGAAACGGGGACCAACAGGTGAGTAGTCTGAAACGAAAGGATTAATAACTAATGCACAAACCGCTTGAAATTTCATGAGAAACCACATACCTAGTAATCGTTCAATATTATCTATCAGAAGAACGCTCAGTTTCGAACGGAAAGCATCCGCAAATGCTTTTCGGAGACATTGACACTTTGCCGATTCAGAAAATCCTACCATATCTCCAGGTGATACTACCTAAAATGGACGGCAAGGTGAAAAACACTCAAGAATGACTACTTCACAATGAAAGTGCAAATGAAAGAAAAGGAAACAACAATATGCCAGCCAAATGACGGCAATACCTTGATAAGAGGGAAGTCAGATGTGCGAGCAATTTCAGCAGCCAGGAAGCTCTTTCCAGATCGTGGAGGACCTTAAATAAAGAAAATTCAAATGTCTGGCATAGGATACACTATTGGTGGTCTCTCATGGGTGCATCACTGAGATCTGGGACTATGTCACTACATATTTCGGTGTGACCCTCTTTCAACAATCACTACCACGACCCCTTCTCTCAATCCAAAACCAACACTACCCCAAATTTTATGTCGCCCCCCCCCCACCTCCACCCAAAATTCGATGTCGACCAGCTAGCTACAAATACAGCACTATACGACGCCCAGAACAGCTGAAACCTGAGAAAACAGAAAACCTGCCGATTTTCGTGGGAGAATTTCCACCACAATACCATCTGCGCCTAACCCTCAGCCAGCAACCCAAATAAGCCAGCAGCAACCCAAATACGACCCCAGATGTGAATCTTACAACAACATATTTGCTGCTTGTACCTACACTGCCCTTGTTTTTCTTACTTCAGACGGCACTATAGTCCCTACG